GCCAGAGCCCAGCAGGTCGAGGCTGCGGTGGCCGGGAGTGGCCACTGCACTCCAGTCTGGGCAACAGAGTGAGACTCCAACTCAAAAAATAATAATAATTTTTAAAAAGGATAAATGGATGAACCTGATGGATGCATGAATTGACAGTGTTAGACAGATTGCTCAGACAGTTGCTCAAGCTAGATCTTGAACCACCATTGCTAGCTCTGACCAAATTTGTTTTTTTTTTTTAAGTCAGAGTCTCACTCTTTCTCCCAGGCTGGAGTGTGGTGGCACCATCATGGTTCACTGTACCTCCAGCTCCAGGGCTCAGGCAATCCTTCTGCCTCAGCCTCCCAAGTAGCTGGTTGTGTGCTACCACGCCCAGCAATTTTCTTTTTTAGAGACCAGCTCTCGCTGTGTTGTCCAGCTTACTGACCAAATCTTTAATCCCTTCCAAAAGCTCCCTTCTCGTCTCCCTGTGTGTTTAGGATCCGGCTCCGGCTGCAGGGTCCCATGACAGGAAACAAGCTTCTCAAAGGCTCCCCAAGACTCCTCTCTGGGCTTAAGGAATCCACACAGACCTCATGCCATCATCAGCCTCCCGATTCAGAGAGCTGCCAGTCATACATTTCCTGTTCCTCCCTCCCTCTCATCCCCAGTTCCTCTGCCTGAGCAACTCTGAGAGGCGCCCCTCCACCCCTCCTCTTCTTCTCTCAGTTCCGGCCTCATCATGTCTCACCTGGATTAGCCTCTAAACTGGCCTCTCTGCCTCCAGAATGGCTCCCTTTGACACATCCCGACCCCACCCCATGGGAACATTCCAAAATCCAGATCAGTTCCTCCCCAGGCTGGCAGTGGCTCACATTTGGACTCTCATCCTAGGCCATGGTTGGGCATTAGAGACCCGCCACCATCCAGCACTCTAGGTTTATCTCCTGGTGATCCCTCTGTCACCTCCAGACTCATAGACACCCAGACACTTGCCAAGGCCAAACGTAGGTTACTCCCTGGGTGCCCTGTGGCACCAGGAATGAGGAGATGGGCCAGACCCACAGAATCTCTTTTGGGACCCTGGGAGCAAGGAGCCTGAGTGGCATGAGGGTCTCTGCCTGGAGGCAGAGGTGTGTCCATGTCCTAGCTGGGTCTCGTTGAGGCTGATGTCTAGTGAGAGGGGGAGAGCCTGGCCACAGACCCCCCCCCCGCAGAGCTGACGATTAGCAATTAACTGGAGGGCTCTCTGGGGTGAGGTTAATCGGGGAACAGAGGGAGGGCAAGGAGGGTTCCAGGGACTTTGCCCTTGACCGAGGGTACAAAGAGGAGGGTCCCAGCTCCTCCTCAAGGCCTGGAGGCTTCCCTGAGCTGCTGAGCAGAAGCTGAAACTGAGAACTCCAAGGTGAGCCCAGGGCCCCGCGTCCCACCCTTGCCCCAGCCCAGAGCAGGAAACAGCCCATCACCCCCGGTCACTGGTCTCTGTCCTATCTGTGCCCGGCTTTGTCCCATCTAACCCTACCCCCAGAGAAAAGAGGACTCCTGCTCTCCTGGGGCTTGGGAGTCAGCCCTGCACACTCGTCCACCCCAACAGCCAAGGACCCCTGGAGCAATGGGGGGACACAGGCAGAGAGCATCCCACCCCCACAGCCCAGAACTCCTGGGGCAGTGCAGGGGCCCTGAAGCAAGACCAGCCCGTCCGAGTCTCACTCAGAAAGAAAGCAGGATTTGGAAAGAAACTCACTGTGCGGGAACCCAAGAACCTGTGCTCCAGGCTGGAGACCCGCCCCGAGGGTGTGGCCAGCTGGTCCCCCAGCAGGCAGGTGCCCATAGGCCCTCGGGGCTGTCAGGGTAGGTAGCCTCGGCCCATACTTGTAGTCACTGCCAACACTGTGAGCTCTGTGGTCCCTGAAGCCCCACGCGGGTGGGCGTTCTCAGGCCTCAAGCCATTTTTTTTTTTTTTTAGTTGGAGTCTCACTCTGTGGCCCAGATTGGAGTGCAGTGGCCACTCCCGGCCACCGCAGCCTAGACCTGTGGGATCCAGCGATCCTTCCGCCTCAGCCTTCCGAGTAGCTGGATTTACAGGCATGAGCTACCACGTCCGGTTGATTTTTTGATTTATTGGAGAGATGAGGTCTCGCTGCCCAAGCGGATCTCGAACCCACGGGCTCAGGCAGTCCACTCACCTCAGCCTCCCAAAGGCGCGGGATGACAGGCTGAGCCACTGA